GCTTACTGTATGCGCTCAAATAACTCAGATGTTTAGATTGCTGTAGATGAACTGGTGGTCCCAAAAAACTGTCTTATAGTAAAGCTACATCAAAAAATGTAAATCACTCTACTACAAAATTTTCATGCAGTGATAGAATATGATTTTAGGCCATATGAAATTTACAACCACGCAGACGCCGTTCACAACTTACTACGTATCGCTAAGCTTCCAATACTTTACAAGAATTTTTTATTTCGATTTGACGAGATTGTCCACAGATAGAACTAAGCTCACATATGTTTGCTCTCAGATCCCTCATAAAATTCATATTACATATTTTGGAAAGTTCATGCATGATCGTGTGTGTCTTTTCTCGAGAGGATGATTTCGAAACATATGAATAACTTGGGTAAATTTTGAAAAACGAAATTTGACGGTTTTATTCTACTTGCTTGGTAAATTTTTTTAGAATGAAAATTTTAAATGTGTAAATGGAGATAAATGTGGGCAAAAGGATGAAAAAAGACAAGTTCATGGCGCTGTCACCAAGCTAGACCAGTGTTTTCAACAGCTTCTATTGACTTACGTAAATGCCTTTGTTGTGATAAAATGTGATGGATGCTCTTGGAACGCTAATTTTGAATTTACCTTCCTTATTAATTCAAATTTTCTAGAAGATTTTTGAAGGTTTCTCGGGCGATAAAATTTCGACAATTGGATCAAACCTTAAAAAATTTTCGAGTTTAGAATTTGTTTCTAGCGGAATAAGCAAAGTCTAAAGCAACGACCTCGACCAACTAGTCGAAATATTATTAGGTCGTTCCGAAAATAATGTCGCTTTATTCAAATGAACGCCACATTTCATGGAATCAATATTTTCAAAAGATTTTAAAGGCGTTCGATGTAGCATTTCATAGTCTTTCTTAGGGTTCTAATCTCACTGCATAGTATTCAATGAGCTCTCGAAAATCAAGCAAAATCGACTCATGCTTTTTGCCATGGTCAAGTTCGGCTATTTTTCTAAATTTTTGTGCCTATTTTCCAAAGAAGCACAAGTGACACGTAGATAGAGAAAATCCTATAAGACACAAGATAATTTTTTTCTTTTCCTTAGCTTGCTTCTTAGAGTTTCTGGAATCATTTTTTCAATGCCATCAAATTCCATATTTGGTCAACTCAAACCTCACAGAACAACAACCGGCAAGCAACTCGGGTGTCATTCGACGCAGCTTTTTCTCCTCTTTCTAGCAGCTGTTTTTGTTTTCGATTCATCTAGTTTTCCGGGATAAGATCATCATAATTCAGACTATCCAGGGCGCCCCAGGCTGTCCGGGTTTTACAAATTTGCTAGTTTGAAGCGGGGAACGCTCATTTGGTTTGTAAAATTAGTTTCAAACCATAATCCAACTTTGTAATCAGAATCCGAAGATTTATTGGTGTTTGATGCATTTGTGTCTGAGACGAGTCTGCAAAAATTCGGTGGTCCCATCAAAAAATCTATACAAAAATTACGACGTAGAAACTGAAAAGTAGAAAAAAGTTGTGCTGTTTCCTGCAGTTGCTCTATCCATCCATTACTTGGACTCCTTCCGAGGGTTGTTATAAAAATTTAGAAAAATTGTGGAGCTTCGCCTTCTCAAAAAACGTGGGTCGCAGATTTTGATAATTTTTAAAGAGGATATCAAATTTTGTGCAGTGATTATATAAGCATTAGAAAGAGAATGAAATGCTGCGTTAAATGCTAACAGAATCCCTTAGACATCTTTGTTCCCCGAAATGTGGCGTACTTTTGAAAAAAGCGACATCACTTTCGGAACGAACTAATATATGTGTGAATTCATAGTTTTTGCAAAGGACTGCTGGTTAACTTCAAAAGCAATGCCCACCCAGATTAAGGATTCTGAGATTTTAATGCGTATAATGGTGAGGCCCCTATCAATTGATTCGCACAGCTGCCGCTGCAAAAAAAAATAAATTACAAAGGAAGAAAACCGCTTTAGAAGCTAGAGGCTGTCCAGGTGGCTCCACCCATCAGCTTGGGTGGCCTGAAGTAATGAGCTCGAAACCAGGCTCCAGTGGTAGATAAATATGCCGAGAATATATAAATCATATTGAAGGGCACATCCCTGACAACTCTAGATTCACTGAAGTCCAAGGTTGGACTTTTATCTTCAGACCACCCCCACGTTGATAGGCGGAGCCACCAGGACCGCTACCTTCTGAAACGATTCCCCCTCTTCAGAGTTCATCTTTTGCGACGTGACTTGGGCGATTAGTTAGTTAGGGGCCCCTCTATGCGTCAAAATCTTACCAACTTCTATTTGGCTGGACGGTTCCTTTAACCTACTACTAAACTTTCAAGCATTCAAACAATGTTCTTTCCAGTTTCCGGTTGCGGTTCTGATTTTGGCCCGTTCAATTCACCAGATGCCTACATAAGAATTGACCATTCGTGTCCTCATCGTCACAAAAAGGAAGTCAAAGCTATGGATCTGAGTTTGTTACCGATATTCTTGCCTAGAGTAATCAGCTTAGGATCCATATACATCGATGGATACGGTGACGATGACACGCAGTGATTCCTACATCCTCACAGAATCAGAAGAAGCAACAGACTTGTATTTATTGTTTTTTCGTTTTCATTATTCTCAAAAAATATTTATTATTTCTTTGTTTTCACGATTCTCAAGAAAATAGGTTAGTGCAAAAGTAATGATTGCCCTTTATGCGACAGCCATGGTATTAGTGTTCAAAGTTCTGAAGTACACCATTCCCATAAAACAAAAAAGCTCTAAAAACAGCATCAATCTTTTCAAAACTTGTAGTGCACCCCTAGTTGGAAGTAAAACCAAAAAGTACTCAATTACCCCGAAACCAGATCCCGCCAAGTGTTAGATATAGATACATTAAAATGCATAGATGCGGTCGCTGAATTTTTTTAGTTTAGAGTTCATAACAAAAATAGGCTAGAAAATACAAAAATCTTGCCTTTTTCATTTTCTTCTGCGTTAAATGTGATATTTCGTGATGATTAGGTACATAGAGAGATGAGATTTCCAAGGTTCTACTACCAAAGGTTTGTAAAAAACGATCATGTACGTGAACAGCATGATTGTGTTTGCAAATACCCGACCTAATTCACAACTCCAAGAAAATACAGCGAATGCATCTAATGAATGTTTGCGTGTGCGTATATTTACATGAAGACCAAGTGGAAAGTATGTAGGATTATTCTGGGCTGATGTCCAATCTTTGAGGCATGACATAATTTAGATTTTGGCTTCAAATTCTTGCAGATATTTTATGCGGATATGTGGTATGTAGTCATTTCGGGGGGCGTATCGTTACGTGCGGGATTCCAACTGGGAAACGTCGCGCGCGACAGGTTCCCAGTGACTAGACTCGGGGAAATCAGCCAGCATGATCCGCAGCACATAGTTTTTCAGTTTCTCATCCTTTGTTGAGGTTCACAGACTATTCTCATATTAGTTTTGCTTAATTATTTCAAGTTTTGCCACAAAAGTTGTAAAATGAGCTTTTAAAAGGACAAAAAAGACACAAATTGAAGAAGATGAAAGCTAGCAATATAGAAGAAGTATTGGTAATTTAGTGGTATAAATCTGACAAGTTTTCTGCACTGCTGCTTCCCGCGCGCGGTCACTGTAAAGCCGCATTGCGACGTTTTTCATTCGGCAGTCCGCACGTAACGAGCGCCCCCCGTCATTTCGTAGAGCATTTTTTGCTTTATCGATCGGTGCCCTATGCACTTTTTTACATACACACTGCGGCTGTAGCAGAAAAAGCACTTTTGCATTCACCCAGCATTTATTTCTGGGTATTATTAATCTCAAGGAAAACTTAGTCCCGGGATGTGTTATCTGTCTCTTGAGGAACGTTCTATTCTATACTAAGTTCTCATATATTGTGCGTTTCTTATTGTTAGTCTAATGAAATACTATAACTGTACAATCTCTCGCATTTTTCTCCTATCTCATACTCAATCATCTACACGTGCTTTGAAATTTTGATAAATTATTCTTGACAGTGAGTAATCACGACAACTCTCTGAACTTTACAGAGATCTCGAAAAGTTCAAACTGTAGAAAATTGTTTTCCATAGACGGATATCTCATTAAAATACCAGTGCGTCACCTCTGCTTCGCAGAGGCTCGCACTGTTCTCACTTTATATGCCTTACTCATTCTTGACTAATGGTGGCAATGAAACTCACCGCGCAGTGCCGCTTATCGCCAGTAAAATGTAAACAACTACCCATTTAAAATGCTTTTTCTTGTAAGATCGGTGATTTCGCGTGGATGAAACTTTTCGCAGAAGAACAAATACAAATTTGAATAGCTTTTCGGACTCTTTCTGGCTTGGTAGCTACCATAAAGACAGTAGGCAACGTGAGCTACATCTCTGTGCAAAATTTTTCTCAAATGCTCAGGTAAAACGATGGCAAATTAATCATTTACGCAACCATTTCTTTCTGGCGTCGTTCTCCTAAAGTAGTGAACTTTTGTCCACTTTTTTGGACTTAAGTCCATGGCTTGCAAATCAGCATGCCAAACACATCCTCGACTTCGCAAAAAGTGGCGATACGGAACCATTTTTGCTGGCCAGAACCCAAGTGATTCCGTTTGACGCGCAGCTTCTGAGGGATCCATCCAACAAAACCACTCATGCTTTTGCATGGTAGGCTCTTATGTTGGTCGCATGCGATGTGCAAAATTTGGGCTCAGGACGTTGGCTGGAACTCGCTCTACGAATTTCGTTACAGACAGACACACGGACATACATACACACACACAAAAACACGTAAACAACCTTAGCCCATTATTATAAGTTATGATTGGATGCAGATTTTTTTTTCTTCGGAAGACATGGAGTACCCAGCTATAGTAACACTGTAGAATATGTCAACCTCAGTTCTGCCGTCCCGAAAACCTTCAAAAAGCACTGTAATTCATTTTTGACAACTATACTCACGTTCCTGTTTTGTACATGGCATCACTTCATCATTTTTATTTATGTATTAGCTACAGACTCCACCCGTTACTTCTTCTTCTGTTTACAACTCTATTAAATACATTGGCTGAAGACTTTGTTCAATTCATCAACATAACTTCAGTCCTGCTATGCGAAATCAAGAAACCTCAGCTTCGCGATCTTCAGCAATGGCAGGCAGATGCGACGCACGAGATGCACGAGACGCATGAGATACCCGATTCTAAAACAAGAGTTAAGAATGAATTCAGCGACTGGATGAATAACAATGTACCTCTTTATTTTCACCGTGTAAGAATGACACTCGCCGTCGTTGCACATTCTTGGCGGGTGTGAGATCATCTTCATCATCCATATCCTCATCTGACGGAGAGCTGTCCTTTGTCAGTACCTCTTGATCCCGACGTGCACATTCTTCCTGGACATTTTGCACTTGAGATGGATCAATGACGGCACACTGAGTGCGATCAAAGGTCTGAAAAAATATCAGTCAACTAAAAGATCTAGCAAATCTATTGCAAATTAAAATGAATTTCATACCATTACGGATAGAATAACGATGTTAATAATGCTCGCAATATAATGATTGATCGAAAACCCGAGGACTTCGAAAATGGGTTACCTCGCCTAACTTTTGTTGAAAGAGATCTACAATTTCTTCTTTTGTAGAAAGAACTGTCAGTATCACCTTAACTTTGACAAAACGTAGTGAATTCTTCGTATAATGAAAATGATAAATATTGTATTGTAGTTCATTGTTTTGTCAATAAGTAAGCGCTATTCCCACAAGCAACTCCAATGTTTTTCAAAAATAAAAAGATGCCCTATAACAGTGAAAGTGAGATATTTTTTGTATGTAAATTTGATCATATCGCTTCTCGGCAGCATATTATTTTATACTTGACAAAAACGAAGATAACAAACCTTATAGATTCCTATCAAACGATCTCCAAGCTCGAACATGTTGTTACGCAGCGAAATGATTATGAACTGAGCGTTCTTAGTACGATCCTGAACAAGTGATTTAGGAGGGTCACACAGTAATAAGATAGCCTCTTCACCTTTATATAGTGAGCGATGATTGACACATTCCTAAAATCTAGTGCAGCATCGATCTCATCCATGACATATAGAGGTGTCGGCCTGCATAAATTATGTTCTCAAAGAATAATGCAAAAAAAGCATTCCGACTAAAGAATATTTCAAGTAAATCACGAACCTATAATGGTGAAGAGCGAACACGAGAGATAGCGATGCCAGCGTTTTCTCGCCACCAGAAAGATTCTCAATTTGCTTCCAAGACTTCTTTGGAGGGCGAACCCTGTAAAATAACGAGGCGAATTTCTATAAGAGCAAATCAATCAGTGAATATATTCAAAAAAAGTTTTGCAAGATATTTTTGACAGACACAATCTAATATATAAAGAATCGTTAACTCAATTCAAAAATCTGCAAATAGTGGGAAACCGCGTGGCGGTCTCGAAGCAAACGCTTCTTCAAAGCACCTTTAGAATACTGGTTCACTAGTTTGAAAAAAACTAAGAGTAAGACAGAAGTTCAACACATCAAGATGAAAACGTACATAAATTGAATCCCTTGCGTGAAAGGGTCCATGGAATCTTTGAGATCAAGAGACGCATCTCCTCCCAGCGTTAACATTTGGTACATCTCTTTCAGGCCAAGCCCGATTTTCTCAAAACCATCCTAAAAATTCACGCGTTTGAATCGACATGACGACAAGCCCGGTCTAGCTAAACCTACCATAAATTCAACCAGTCGGTCTCTCCGCATATTATCAAGCACAACCATATGTTCCTCCATAGTTTCTCTGGCAGCATCTAGCGCACTTCGCTCAGTCTCTAGCTTTGCCAACTAGAATAAATAAATAATGATGGAAAGCTTAGACCCCGAAGATTACAAAAGGTGGGGGTGATCGAAAGCAGTCTACTAGAACCAAAAACAAAAAGCCAAAGGTGGATAGTTGATTGCTACACATTGGACACATGTAATAGTAAGTTAACAATATATATCCTAGACTCCGGATGGTTATTTACACTTCACAGAATGAGAGTGATCCCTATCCATAGTGACTCAATGTCTAGAGAAAGTCTGCTTCCATTCATCTTTATGAATATAATACCTTTGTTTTGTAGTCCTTTATTATATGCATATTGATATCCGTTCGGGATGAGAGCTGCTTCTGTTCGATATTAGTCAGTTTGAACTTTATGTCATCCCTATTCAGTTCCGCCACTTCTTCCTTCGTCAATTTTGGCACCGTTCCATCTGCTGATTCCAAATATTCTTCCGCTTCGTCGGTGCCCTTCTTCTTGGTCTGAATAAACCAAGTAAAATCAAATAAACCAAATAAAACCAAAACAAACTACTACCTTTTTGTCTCTCTTCTCATGCGGGTGGTCTATCAATGACAAGTTTTCGAAAGAGTCCATAGGATCGTCTTCGGCGGGCTTTTTTTGTTTGGGCATAACATCGAACTCCTGCGTTTGATGCAAAGTTAGCGCTTCAACCTAGAAAAAAATTATGAGGGATAGTCTTGCCTAATCTTGAAGATCCTATTTACTTGTCTTTTCAGCTTCTCTACTTCGTTCCTCAGTCCCTTGAGAGTTGCTTCCTTTTCGTTCAATTCTTCGATACATTGCTACAAAAAAATTCGGTTTAATTCCAGGGTGTACTTTAGTTGAATGAAATCTATTTTAGCTAATTGAAATTCATTATATTTCAAAGCTATTTAGAAATATGAAATTACCTTCTGTTCCCTCAGGAACTTCAGTTCATCTTGATTAAAATCTTCTCTTCGCTGCCTCGTGTTCTTTATGAATTCTTCCAGCTCTCCGCATTTTACCTTGAAAACCAATGCTTACAAGGGAATGGTCAGAAATCGAAGTGGCCAATCCATACAAGCTGCATACCATTAGGTGCAGCATAAAACGCTGACTTTAAATCCGTCTTTCGTCTGCAATCTGCAGAGCGCTTTTGTGGACAAAATTATGACCCGTTAAAGGCCATCATTTTGCTAAGAATTTATGTGTGTAAAGGGCAAACTCGGCCGTACAGAGCCATACCCGGCTCAGTGCAAGACCAAAACATGCAACTAGGTCACTTCATATGGTCAGTACCTAAAGGTGAGCGAAAAGAGCAATAATGTGCCTAATCTCGCAATTTTTGTATAAGATTTTTTCGCACTAAAGCTGATCATAACTTCGCTTACAAAGGCGCTCTGCAGATACCGAAGACAGATTTGAAATCAGCATTTTAAGCTGCATCGAATGGTATGCAGCTTGTATGGATTGGCCACTTCGACTTCTGACCATTCCCTTGTTAGATCGTATCAAGAATTACGAGATATGATGGTCTTGGCAATGAATATGCCAGTTGCCCTTAAACCATACACTTACCCTGAGTTCGGATTGCGTATTTTTTGCCTGATGTAACAATTTTGGCAAATTCTCCTCCTCTTCGGCGAGTTTCTGCTCCTTGGCCTTTTTGTCAGCCAATTGCTTTTCGAGAAATTTGATTCTATTTTGCACCTGCAAAGCACAATCCCTTGAGCAGCCATCTGTAGGTTAATGGTACTCTTACTAATTTACCTTTTCGATATTATGTTCGTTGAGATCAATGCTGACTCGTTCCTTGACGGCTTGCTCTTCAATCTCCTGCCGTCGCTTTTTTGCAGTATCTGCCTCATCCAAATATTTCTGCAACACAAATTATCTTCGAGACCTTTCAAAAAACAACTTAATTTCTTCTGAGTCACCTGCACAAACTCATGGAAAATCGATTTCACTTTTGCAGCAACAACATCTACTTTAGCTTTGGCAGCAGCAACTTCCTTGGCACACTCTTCTCGCTCTGAAAATCTTCGTTTCGAAAAAGTTTAAGCAAATCGTTAGCGGAGAAGATACCTGCAGTGGCAGCCTCTATCTCTGCTTTCTTGCTAGCAACCTCCGCTTCATCTGCGAGGTTATTTTGAAGCTGATCGTTAACATATACAACTTGCTTTTCCATGTGCCCAATACGTTCGGTTAGCTTCTGAATATTGAACAGCATGTTGCAATGAATTAGAAATGCGTGGGAATGAATGGCAAGCGTTGTTGTTCACTACAGCCTGCGTAAATTGAATCTGTTCTACTGCTGACAAATCTAAGAAAAATCAACAAAAATAAGTTTGAGGGTCTGTTTGACGAATCCTTACGTCTAAATCTCGAACTCACCAAAATCTCATTGTCGCAAGCATTATACTGTGCTCGCAGCCTGTTCGCATCATTGCTTAGAGCGAATATCTTCTGTTCGATCTGGGAACATTATGTTACAAGCCAATTAGACCGGCAGAAACATGACTGTCTGAAAGTTACCTGCCGACAACTTGCGGAAGTCTCCGCCAACATCTCGTTCTTCTCATCCAACTCTTTGATCATCGCCGGCAGCCTTGACTGCGCTTCACGTATCGCAATCTCAGCTTGTCCCTTCTCTTTGTTACCCATTAACCCACTGAATTTCAAAAGTGATTATGTAACCATGTTTGAACTTGATAAAGACATACTATTTTGGAGCTCCTCCGCCAGAAACTGTTCCTGAGCTATCGATGACCTGACCGAGGAGGGTCACGATACGTAATGCTAAAAGATGGAAATGAACGAGGATTTTTGTACTTGACACTTGGCCTTCAAACGGGAAATTTTGACGAAAATGATCAACATGGAAAAAATGCACGCACTTTGGTTCAAACTGTAGAGCGCAAGCTGAAATCAAGGATTCTCAGATGCAATATGCCCATTAACCCTTGTAGCAACACATTTCACAGTGCATCCGAGAAAACAACCAGCAAATCATTGTAAATTTTAAAATCTTTCCAGAAACTAGGCTAAGCTTCAAGGCACTGACTTTGATGACAAGAAAGAAAATAAGCTAGGTATGCAAAAAAACTCGTCGTCAGTTAAAGTCAAGAAGAAAATAATTATGAGAAGATATTTGATGTCAAAACCATCAACAACAAGGCAACTCACATCGGTCTTTCCTAGAGAGATCAGTTGCTTCCTTGAGCGTGTCCACTACCAATGTATCGAATACAGTCGAATAAAATACTTTTCGAAGCCGTGGGTCGGGTATGTCAATGAGATCGAATAAGCGAGGAGCGGGGCTGAAAAGGTGAGAATGGATTCCAGCGCGATCGCGCCCAAATATGAGAACTTACAACTTCTTTTTCGTATCCATGCTGTCCCTAAACTCGTTCGTTTTATCCAATATAATAAAGTTAGTTCGGCCAAGATTTCTCTGAATAATTTGATTTGAGAGCGCGCACTTCGACCTGCTATCTCACCTTTACAAGATAGTCAATAGCTTCATGACCGTCATTTGTAGTTTCAACTACATATGAATCCAAAGCAGCAGTAGTCGTTGAGATCGCAGCATCATATTTCTTGTCAATAGTGCCAAGATCACCCTGAACAGAAAGAGAAAACAGAGAGTTAACTGTAGATTCAACCAATGATTATTTACCAGTCTGCCAATAAGTCCTTTCAGCAATCCTTCAGCTTTCGCCTTGGCCAGTGCCTTTTGACGTTCGGTTCCAGCTATTCCAGAAGACACTAACTGCTTGTCTTCGGAAACTTTAGTACGAAGAACATTGACCTGAATAACGCATAAGTCGAAGGATAAAAATACGCACTAACATTCTATTGCGTTGAACAAATTTTCATATTACATAACGATGATTAAAAAAGTCACCTCCTCCATGAGTTTATCTTCCTTTTCTTTGATGAGTGGAAGAGAAGCCCTGGCTTGCGCCAAATCATCTTGTACCTTCGGCAGCGACACTTTGAGCTCATTCATTTCACTAAAAAGATACAAGTGCGCAAGAAAGCGAGTACGACAGTGGACCGCAAAACAGTCACAAACCTCGTTTTCTTCTCTAAGTCTTCCTTCCAAGTACTAAGGTTGTTTTGGAAGTCCGTGAGCCGTTTTCGTAGCTTGGTTTCCTCATGTGTCATATTCTTTAACGCTTCTTTTGCGATGTGGATCTAAACAAGCGATAAGCTCAATTCATGTAAATCAGCTGTAAGCCGAAGGTACACTCAACCTTGTTTTTCGCATCTACTTCTTTCAGGACAAGAACTCCCATTTCTTCTTCAAGTCTCGCCCTCTCGGCTTTTTCCGGTCCTGCTTTTCGGTCAAACTTGTCACGATTGTCGTCGGCCTAACAAAGCAAAAAGCAAACTAGCACAAAGCACTTGAGAAATCAGATGTGAGCCTTTACCTTCTTGATATTGTCACGCTCAAGTTCGTTGAGTTCAGCGATAGATGCCTTCAGCACCTCAAGTCGTGCAGCAGCTCTAGCAGGTACACCCTTCAGCTCTTCCATCTGGATATATACAGTACTGAATTGATGGACAAGAAGCAAAAAACGATATGATGCACCTTTTGCTTTTCCTTTTCAATCTCATCAGCAACACGAACGATATCCGCAACGTTCCTCTTTATCGTATTTGTTCGAGCTTTGGAGGCTCTTTCCAGAGCACCAATCTCATCACGAGTTGCTTTTTCCTCCGCATTTACTTTTGCCAGATCCCTTAACAATTCAAAGTTGCTTTTTGTCTAATGAAACATAACACAAAAATGAAAATAAGAATAAGAACTGAAGATCTATACAACAGCACATTTGAAAAAGTACCTTTGCGCAGCTTCTAAACGATCGTTATCTGCTTCTCTCGCATCCTTAACATCCTTCAGTGCTTTGTCAACTGCACTCTTCTTTTCGTATGCTTCATCTCTAAGGGGCTGCACCACATCAATCTCTTCCAAAAATTGGTACCTGCACAAAGACTGATCAATCTAGTTGTAGATGAGGAAGCTGAAAATAGAGCATAGTTAACGTACAATTTGATGTGGTAAAGTTGATTTCTCAGAAGCACTGCATGATTCTCCGCTTTGAGATATGAAATCATCTCACGTACCGGACCCTCCAGAGCAGCTCTATCTCGCTCAGCAGCGCGAACCCTAAAAAAAACAATAAAAAATCAGAAACAAAAGCGATTGATAACACATTCGTAAACTAGCGAAAAGAAAATACGCAGTTATGAGCAAACGAGCTAGCATTTTCTGAGGTAATACCCTTGATCGCAGATTACGATATACTGATAGCTGGCAAACACATACATTATAAATTCCAATACTAGAAAAAAAAACGCAGAAAGAGTAAAAATGCATTTCAAAAAAAAACCTCTCGAAACATAAATCACCTTTGTAATGCGTTCGTTCGCTGTTCCTTCAAAGTGTCAACTTTAGCATTCAACTTCTCGATGGGATGCTAGAAAGTAAGCGTGTAAAAACACAAATAAAGCTTTTCACAGATGGAGACATGAAACAAACCCGAAAGCGACTAGAACCAATGATATCTTCCAGATATTCAAGCATTCCTTCTTCATGAGGACTCTCACCTTTTGGCTTCATCATGGCAATCTGTTCCACTTCACCCTAAACCTCTGAATTTCTGAATGCTGGTGAAATCAAGAGATACTGAGATAGAACTGTTAAAATCACTGACCTGAAGGATCAAAAAGCGATTATGTACAAGATCGATACCGAAGTCCCTTAATCGACCAGCGATTTCTTTTATAGACATCGTCTGCAACAAAAATGTTTTTCATGGAAGTTAAGATAGTTGCAGAGCTAGATATTAACCTTGCCATTCCAAGCATACACGCTGTTGTTAGTTTTATAGGCAGTCCTAGCGACACTGAACTCACTGCCTTGGACGACTTCGAAATGGCCATCCTGGACAAAAAAAAGTCTCGATAAGTACAACAGATTAAGACAAACCTTATCGATGATTTGCTCGAAGAACACTTCCACGGTGCAACTGTTGATATCGTCATGCTGCCTCGAAGAATGTATGAGGACAGATAGCTTCTTAGAACGAATCTTGGAAGCCTGAGAAATAAAAACAGTAGATAGACAAATTATCAAAAAAAAAATAAAGAAGAAAAGGAAACCTTGTAACCGAACACAAATAGTAACGAGTCAATAACATTACTTTTCCCGGAACCATTCGGACCAATAATCGCCGAGAAATTCTAAAACGAGTCTTTAGCTGCTTAGAAAGAAACTGTTGTGCATCATACCTTGTGAAAAGGACCAATATGTTGAGTACCATAAAATGATTTGAAATTAGTAGCAACAATTTCCCTTATCACAAGCCTTGCTCCGGATCCATCAGGTTTCATGCAGGGTTGAGGCCTTGGTGGAATCACCTGAAGAAAGAGTGCAAATCAAGTAGAGTACGTAGGGAAAAGTGTGATTGCTTTACCATCCGTAGCAGATCTTCGTTCTCATAATTTTCGACAAACTCGTCTTCATCATCGGATATGTCTCCAGCATCTTTCTGAATCACTATTATGCCGTTTGTAGACGCAAATCATAGGGGCTGTACCTCCGATTCTTTTCTGCTGGTCGCACCCGCCTTTGGTGTGCCTAGCTTTGCTTGCTTTCGTTTTGGAGCTGGCGGTGTTTTTGATGGCGAAGGCAACCTCTTCTTAGCTGGTTTCTTCTTCTTCTTTTCTTCACCTAAGCACATATGCTAGGCAAAAAATTACGTTAAAATAACAAAGATGTCTTACTTTACTCTTAGGTCTTTAGGGATATCATTCTGCGCTAAAATAATCTAAGTATGATCACACGCTAACCGCTTTCAAGATGCACTTGTCATGTCGATTTAAAGTGTTCAAGATATATAAAAACATGAGGTATCCAGATTGCTTTCATCCAAGATAAAAGCTAATCAAAAGAATATCAAAAATTAGGTGAAAGACTAACTATAAAAACAACTGATGAAAGTAATATCACAAGCTGAAAATATTAGACTGTAATATTAGACTACACAGACTGTAAAATTAGATTGCCCCCAACCAACTCATTAGATTGTTGTAAACCAAATCGTACCTGAATCGAAGTCACTGTCATCATCTGATGATTCGACTTGTTTCTTACGAGCCATTTAAGAAAGTACTGAAAGCATTTAGATCAAGTTGAAACGTCATGTGAAGAAAAGATTGCTAATTAAGTAAAAACACCATAAAACATGGTGGTCGTTTACACCAAAAAGTGTGTGGGAAAAGCTTTCAGGCTTAGAAATCAGCAGAAAGCAGATATGCGCACTTCTGCTCACGATTTGAATGAAACAAAAAGTTCGCACATGAGAACAGAGTCAATCTTGCCGATTGTTCCTAACCCATAAGTATTCCGCTAAACATGCGAACATGCGCTACATATACCGTCAACACATTTTTTTCAACATTACCAAAAGAGAAAAGTAACTTGTAAAAGTGCTGAACAAATAAGAAGTCCAAGCTATTATTCTGAACTTCCGAAATATCGACACCTATTTCCCACTGTACTTCAAATAAATTGAATTCTTTGTACAATGAGGAACTAGGTTTCGGACACCAAGCAAAAGAATCATTCAATTTCAGAAAGTTTAGCAAGAATTTTGTTGCAGATTGCAAAATAGGGTAAACAAATTTTCCCGCGAATTTGGTTCAAACGACACCGGTAGCTTTCGCGCGCAGCGATCAACCTTGGAGCAGTGAATCCACTAGCGCAGAAACCGACTTGCTCCCATTTCCAAAGAAGTGCTAGTAAACAATTTATGGGGTTATTAACTTGCAACTAAACTGCTATTGAATTCCTTATTTCAAAAACTGCGTGAATAAAACATCAGTGACTAAACTATTTTCAAAAGAGACAAATGTCAAGAAAAAAACGTGAGACAAATCCGTCACGTTCAATTCCGCAAAGGTTGGGAACATGTCGTTGTTCTGTAACCAAAGGACACAAGCACACTTTGCGTATGTTTGATCAACAAGTACATGAGCGCTCTAACGCGTTCTGGTTGCTTTACCTACTAACTTCGTGAAACAACATGTTCGAGCTCGTTAAACAACGCGAGGTCGAACATGTTCTTCCACGAACTGATATGATTTACCAAAACCTGTTAAAAAAGCACTCATAAACTTGTCAATCAAACATAATATGTTAGGGATCGTTCATACCGCGCACGAAGGCGGAAGAAGGCGGACGAAGCCGCACAAAGGCGGACGAAGCCGGACAAAGGCGGAAGAAGCCGGACAAAGCCGGACAAAAACGGACAAAGACGGACAAAGGCGGACGAAGGCGGACGAACTGCCAAAGCGCAGGGGTTTGCCGGCGAAGTGCCATATTGGAATACGCGTGAAATACAGTGCGCGTTGTGCGTTGAGTTATATATGACTAACATACGTGCACAACGCGCGCTGTATTTCACGCGTATTCCAATATGGCACTTCGCCGGCAAACCCCTGCGCTTTGGCAGTTCGTCCGCCTTCGTCCGCTTTTGTCCGTCTTTGTCCGGCTTTTTCCGCCTTTGTCCGGCTTTGTCCGGCTTCGTCCGCCTTTGTGCGGCTTCGTCCGCCTTCGTCCGCCTTCGTGCGCGGTATGAACGATCCCTTAGGCTCCGGGCAGACCACGCGATTTGATCGTCGCGACTGAATAGCGACGAGACAACTGTTACTACATCATTCCATGTCGATCAACTTGCATTCGGTTGTGATACTTTTCCAGCCCGAAATTTCTGAACGTGAAATGAAAATGAATGGAAATCTTGGCGATTAGGTCGCGACGATTAAGTCGCGTGAAGTCTGACCGGGGCCTAAAGTGTGCTCGTCTCTTATTGTTACTTAGAGAATGAATGATATCTGAAAGAAGCTGCTTCGACAAATCACAGTCCTAGCGACTCAGTTTCAATAGCAAACGTCCGTTTCCTCCTTGCTTCAGAGCAACACACATCGCCGGTAAAATTTAGCAGAAATAATGCTCTGGAGAGTCATCTGCCTTATGTGAGCTTCAAGAACCTTTGATTTTCTCGACTATACTCGATAGCTAGAAGATCCTGAGCATCATCTTCAGGTTGATTTAGAATAGTAATATTTACTCTGACGCCATTCTGACCTTGTCAATGTTTCTACGAGCACGACTGAGAACCACTGGAAAGTGATGTGAAGCTGACTATGATCAAATGATCAAATGATGATCAATTAAATGATCAATGTGATCAATTGTTCAAACCATTCAAGTCATCACTCTCCCCCCCCCCTCCTTCCGGAAATGGGTACAATGGAAGGAGATCGGGGAGGATCAAAACGCTAACTTACCAACCACCGGACTCCCAGAAGTCATACTGACGATCCACGTGATATAATCAGGCTTTGAACTTGGAGTTAAATTGCGTTTACAGGCTGGTTTGCATTGCAGAGATTAAACTTTAGGCAATGCCACAAGCCCGAGGCACCAACACTACGCCAGACCACTGTCTTAATTTTTGCTTGTTTTTTTCGGTTGGAATAACTCTGTAATGACACTTATGAGTTTAACTCTTTTTGCGACAATCTTTCACTTGCGCTTCATTTGTATATTATCGCGACCAATGTTACAAAAACAGGATAGGACCTTCACATTACGGATGATTGCTATATTTTCAAGCGACAGTTTATCAAAATTAAATTCTTCACACTAGTGGGCAATGCCAACATAACAGAGAACCCAGAAAAGTGCTTACCTAAAAACGCTTTATGCAAAGTAATGGTCAGCAACTTCTCCCACAATTCCAAAGAGGAGGACGCAAATTATCATCTTCTAGCATGAGGAGCCAAATCTTGCACAAATTTTCCGACTTGACAAGCCGTAATCTACCTCTGTCACATAACACTTTGAAAGAAAACTACGAAGCAGCACGCTACCATTTCTATCACCAAAGCACAAAACAGTGCTAGCCACAGAAATCCATAGTAAATGCATAAACCCACAAAATGCATCAATCTAACACTTCAGTATTGAAGTTTATCAAACTGACACCCGGTAGCACAATTACGTATCTTCGCACAGTATACATATATATTTAATAATATGAAAATCAATTATTATTAGAAGAATCACAAATTCAGAAGCCATTTTCTCAGAAACAACCACAGCATTTGATTGAATGCTAATAAAAATATGTAGTATGAAGTCACTGTGCAAAGAGCTTTCTTATGAAATTGAATGAGAAAAGAACAAACTATGCTAAAAAATAAAGGAATGAACGATGAAGCAGTAATTCAACAACTAAGTTCATGATAACTACAGCAATGATAAGCAGATTTCGGAATATGAAGATATAGATTTAAGGTACAAAATTCTGTGATCGTAAAATCGTAGAAAAATCTAAGTCAATGGCAAGTTATGTACATTGTTGACCAGCGCAGCAACAACACCGTCATATCACTGGGGGAAAAGATGAGAACACTAACACACTGTCAAAAATAAAAATTAAGAAAATCGCTGTGCGAGAAAAACTCATATAAACCATCATAGAAAAATGGTTTTACTAACCCTTACGAGATGATTAGTACATTGATATTCAATATGACATTGCCCGCACTGGTTTAATCGATGCATAATCGAGCACAGGTTTTCCTGATTCAGCATTATGCGCAAATCCTACCACCGACTTAGAACGGCTTGATAAGACGTTTGTTTTCTTGAGCGATGAATTGAGAGACGGAGGAGTACGCATAGTTCGTTCAGCATTCGCCGTGGAGACGAAGAGATCTTTCGTCAAACCGATACCAAAGTTGCTTTTGCGGCTGGCAAAATCAGCATAGTCGTCGTTATCTTCTCCTTCCTTGGACAACTTGTCGTCAACAGCTGTGGAACTTCTCGATGAGCATGCCGACGATTTCAACGATGCACTTTCTTCAATGGTTTCGAAATGTTGCGAGCTATGCATGTCGATCGACTTTGAATCAACTCGCGAAGGAAAGGTAATATGGTGTCCATGTTCACTCACTTCAGCTAGAGCATTCTTCACGGCTTCTAGATCGGGTACAACGGGAATCACGTAGTCGCAAGACTCATCAATACTACTCTGTCGGGCTTGTTCGAGGACAATTTGGCTGGGAGTCAGTTCGGCGTCAGAGACATCGGTTGGATACGTGAAGATTTCAGTATCTTTTCGAATGGAGCATCCAAATGACGAAGTGCGGGATCGAATGCAGTTGCTGGGACTGTCCACGCTGACAACGGAGCCGCTTCCAGATCGTCTGATGCCGCTTCCAAAATCGATTTCAACGAAGTGATCCGTTCCTTCACATGGCGCTGCACTCTTGCGGTTGTGTGGAGTACTGCGCCCAGAGCCGAAGCTTCCAGAACGATTTCGCAGGTAGTCGTCTTTTTCGGAACACATAGCTGATAGATGGTTCGCACTTGATGATGGTCCAAAAGATGACGAAAATTCGGATGAAGCAAGCGATACACTGGAGGCGGATGTCTGTGAAACGCGCTGCTGCCTCGAGGTGTGCTGCGAAGTTTTTCGAAAAGGTCGTGGGAAGAGCGACTTGCTGCCAAGTGAAAAGGCTCTTTTACGAGGATCATCTACGGGTTGCAGATGGGTGTTCGAAGCGTTCTCAGCTTGAAAACTGGGGTTTTCTCCCATGCCAGTGTTGGCGGTCGTAGGGCGAAGATTGCACCTTCCAGCAAAAGAGTATGCGCGAGGAGGATTGGCTGGACTTTGTAATTCCGAACAACCGTTGGCAACACCAGTTGAGCTACAATAATCGCTACTATCCGACACATACGAGCGAACTTCTTCGAGTTTGTAACGATCGTGGGTAGGCATGATTAGATGGCTGCTACTTCCAACAGAAGTCCATTCAGCGGCATGCATGGGAGTGTAACCATTATCGGAGATAAGATAATCACTGCTTGGCAAATCTGGTGTTTTCGAAGCCTCTTCTGTAGTTCGAGTTGGTGCAGATGTTGGTTGAGGAGCTGAAACTTCTTCAGGTACTTGCTCCATGGTCTTACTGTGCACAACACCTCTAGGGCTGTCTAAAGCAACGGAAGCGTCCACAGGAGATGAGAGTGAAGCATCGGAAGCGGTGCTTGACGGCGGCGGGATCATGGCTTGATAAACACCAAAATCTTCTTGAGATGGCTGTCGCTGAGGGAATACACTCATCATTGAACTTGCTGGAGGAGTTGAGTTCTTAGGTGGAGCTTGCGAACCGTATGAGATGCTGTACGCACGTGAAGCAAGAGTTGAGCCAGTTGGATTCGAAGGTGTAGAAGGTTTACTGCCAATTGCACTGGGAGATGAGTATGTGGAAACCCGTCCACTGAGGAAAGACGAAGTGCGAACTCTCTGCGAACCTTGCGTATGACAGCGATCACGATGATGTCCTTGATGCGAACGAAGCGACAAGAGACCGGGAGGTTTTGTGACGCCGTTGTTCATCTTCCTTTCTTTTTCGGACTCCCTTTCGATTATCGCATTCAGCTTATTGTGAATATCGAGAGCGACTTCATCATTATCACATTGAGCCCATAATTCGCTTGCTCCTGATGGTGCACTCCTTCCTAATCGCATCAAAAAGTATCTCTCCTGGCAACCGAAAAAAGCCACACACTTGCGTGGAATCTCAATGAAGTCCTCGGAGTTGAATGGTGGAATACCGGATGGCGGCAAACCATTGACAGCTGGTTCTATGCGACGTTTGCAGAGTATGATGGTGTGGGCGTAAAAGCACAAACGTTTCGGTCCTGCAACTTCTGGAAGACGAACGCAGATGTTTTGAAGCGAATCTTCAGTGCGTGGTGGCCTCTTCAGCTTCGGCATGCTGACCACATCGACATCCCAAACACATTCGAAGAATTCCAACGGTTGTATTGGTCTTCCAAGCCGCAGCGCTCTCGACGGAATCAGTGCTGACATGATCGCGTTGTACCACTCGGTATTTTGACGTCCATCATCTCCGGCTTTGCCTCCATCATCCACTCTCAGGCACAATGTTTCATCAGGACCCATTAAGCACACACATCGCTTGAGTTTCGGATCGAAGTGGTCGTTGTGAAGATTGAACGCCGTAGAAAGATCGATGAGATGCCTGGCGGATTTGTGCTTTCGATAAGCTTTTTCGCTTTCGTGCAACTCCAACGCACGTTCACAAAGTACAGCGTAGTAGCTCTTCTTCGACTTGATAGGAGCAAATCCGGCGATGACTGGTCCAGACTTTATGACACCAGACTCTTCCTCCAACTTCAAACTCGATGCCATGCCAGCCTCACGACTCTAAGACGGGCAGGGACGCCTGCTGGAATGGAAAAGTTCAGAATAACTGCAATCCACTGAACTGGTAGATGTGCAATAGTATTTGACATGGTATAACACCAAGAAGATCTAAACATGAAACAAAAACAAAATTTTATGATTACTTTACAAGTTACAAGTAGTTCAAACAAATAAGAAAAATACATCAATCAACCAGCTATATACGGTAAGAGCCACAAACTTTTTCCCTATAAATAATCCTCAGCGATAATCGTTTCATAGGATGAAAGAGGAATGAGCGGTGTGGAAGAGCGTACACGTTTGACGGAAACCTCTGTATAGACCTGGCTCTAACTACAAACAAACATGCATCATTCAACAATTACTACAATCAACACAGGCCCAAAAGCACACCTATCTCTGAGATGCTAAGCACTTGCAGTGCTAAGCGGAAATATGTCTCGAAAGACTTCAACAAAGAGATGAGATTAAAAATCAAAAAGAAAGGAAGAGTAAAGTAGAAAGGAAACAGTTGAAAGGATTATACGAAAACTGAGATCGTGATTAAAATCTGAGCGGGCTTCGATGGCGCTCTCTACATAGATAAAGTGAAAAAATGATATCATTGGTACAATAAGATTGTCCTAATTACGCTTATTCCTTGAAGGCAATCGAGTTGAAATCACCGATGAGCTTCCGTCCTGGAAATAACAAAAATGCAAAAAATACAACACAAACCCAATAATAAAGCAATCTGGAGCTAACGTCTCTCATTGTCAAATCAGAGACAGATACTTCGGTCATTTACAGGCAGCCTAAGCAAAATCAATGCTTTCCTGAATACCACATAGTCCAGAGGCATGCTTTAGAAGTGGAGCAGCTGCGTGATCCGTTCCTCTAATGGTCCTCGAGAAGAGGAACTTTCAGTCCACCGGAAGCAAAGCAACTTGGATGGGCAGACCTTGAAAGCTTCTGGTGAAACGCAGGTCCATTTTCTCCTTCCAAAGGTTGTATTAGAGAGCCGGACCAACGCTGATGCTTCGCTTTTAAGGTAATCTTGTAAATTATATGGTTGTGGAGGAAGCAAGATTTTGGCGAGACGCTGCTTTTAGACCAACAATTGACAAGCTACCTATACACCTTTAGATATTTTCCAACAAATACAAAAAGCCTCTTGCACAAATTCAAACACACCAGAAGTTACTGTCCACTCCCTATACCGAATCCGACAAGACGTCGCATGAAGCCATATATCCGCCGCATCTTGGATGGTGGCTCCCCTAATTCCAAATTCGCCGTCTGGTCGTCCTTCAAAGATGGTTTCGAGTCCAACTTCGACAGCGACCACTTACTGCCTAGTCGTGATGCACTACTCGTAGCCTGAAAGAGAACCACTGGAACTACGACTCAAACAAAATAGAAAGACAGCAAACCTTGGAGGGAGTCGATGGTGCGCTTCTAACTTTTCCTGGGACTGCAGTCAAACTGCTATCAAATTCTTCAGAATTTCTGCGTGGTATATCCAGGCTCAGGCGGTGTACAACAGGAGTTATTCCAGATGACTCGGCTATCAAACGATGAGACCTCTTCCTGCTGCCCGTCAATGGTGTGGCCAAAGAGCCACCATCATTGATGATGTTGCGAAGTTGAGGAGTCACATCGCTTTTTGGCCCATTTCTCAGCGTTGGCGTTCTTACATCGACCAACAAAGTGGTTGCATTACGCTCGCGGGATCTAAAGATGTTTCATAGAGAGATGGAACAAGTAATCAAATCTATATTTGAGTGTCAATATCGCGTAAGGATGCACGTTATTGATAGAGTGTATGTTAATCACCTGGTGATCATTCCAAAAGTTGGAGTCAAAGAGCTCGCAACGTGTATCTTGATGTCGACCGGACCCGATGGAGTGAGAACCTGAATGATGTGGTTGGTAATCGGAGAAGAGTGGCTAGCACTATGTGTGATTTTATGCACTTTCTACATGTGTTAGGGCTTTACGAATGGGCAATGAAGCTATGAAACTTACCTTATCCTCCATTTTGACACATGGTGATCGACAAGGCCCTCGTTTGATGACAATTCCTTCTGTATGCCGAAGCGTCATACCAGTGGTGATGCGAGATGGTGTAACACTGTCCTGAAACGACACTCATTCGAGATTCTATGCGAAAACGATAGCAACAGGACACACCATATTGGACAATCTTGATAAAGATCTAGTTACGCGCTTCTTTCGTCCATTACGACCTTCTTCATTGCGGACATCAGACCCCAAAGGTGACTGAAATAGAATTTTGCCTTTCAGTAATGATTTAGCCAAAAAGTGAAACCAGAAGCGCAGCAACCGAACAACCTACAGTAGTGGCATTTGCATCATTTGAAGAGCATTTTTCCTCTTCCTCGTCTGTGCCATCTTCATCGACAGAACCAACTTCCGAAGATGTTTGCATCTCAAAACAGTAAAATTTAATCATATTTAGGTGATCAAATAGTGTCACCTTGGAAGTAATAGTGACCGCCTCCTCTTCATGATGTCCTGAGGTGCGGGTAGGCACAACATTCACATCGAATTTCTCACAGTCCTACAAAGAAAAACTATCCTGACGGTTTTACGCAAATAAGGAAAGGACTCACAGCTGTCGAAAATTCTAGTTCGAGTTTGTTCGAGCTATCATCTTGTTGTGCCTCTTGGTACGCTTTGCAGTACCGCTCCTCAAGAAGACGTTCCTCCGTATGTGTCATAAATCCTGGCCCAGTGTACTCAACAACTAAAGCAACAGAGAATATAATATGCTAAAAGATATTGAGAAGACGGTCCTACTTTCCTACCTGAGAAATGCGGATCGCGAGCACCCTTGTAAACAATAGGAGTGCGATAAGTGTACAGTTTCAGTGTTGTTGATGGTGAGACCCTAACCATACATTCTGGATCGTCCACGAACACTTTATCAATCGAGCATTTGTTTCCAATGAATTCCTCCACACAAGGGTGGTCCACAGGCAGGTCGGCGTAAGGTGAATCAAACATGACCTCAAAACATACAAAGCTGATGTGCACAGCGGCTATCAATGAGCATCAAGCAAAACGGAGTGTTTCGAAAACTGAGGAAATAATAACTTTGTGAAAACTTACAGTTATTGCAGTGACATTGTCAGCTCTCAGATGCCGCCAATTTCGAATTGCATTTGCCACAAGTACCCGTGCCAAATTTGTGTGTTTGTCGCGGTACTATGGTTATAAAAAATTCGAGATGTTCATGAGATAAGGAAGCGGTTGCGTACCAATACTCACAACTAAATCTTCACTTCGATCAACTCCTATCTGAGAGACATTTTCTTCTTCGTCGACGATGGCTGCCACCTGGAAAAATTTGACAATAACTTGATGGCTGCTATGCTCGGTGTCAGTGATTTTCTTTATGGTCTAAATGGTACAATGACAAAGGCTTCAGCAAGTCCAGATAGAAAACCTTGTTTGTTTAGCGTTAGTTACTCATAATTACTCATGCGCCGGCTCAGAGTTGACAGAGAATTTTAAAATGCTCACACGCGTGTTAATGCGCTGGCATTCACTTCTCCCATCCCACTAGGGCGCCGAGGCGTCTGCGCAACTATGGGCGCAACACTATGCTTCAACAGAAAAAAAGTGATCAACACTCAACAGATGACACAGAGTGTGTGTTCTAGAAAATTGCAAGGCAACCTATACGAGTCATGCGATTCTTCCTAGATCCTACCTGCACTGGTCCAAGAACGTTTGTCAAACCATCCGACGCAAGTACCAAGCATACGTCATCACCTGGAAACAGACCTCGTAATTCATACAAGATCAACAAGCACAACAGGAAAAGCTAAATCTATTTGTGATACTATTTTGACAGCAGACGATTTCCAAATAATTTTCCCAATGATTTTCCGCGATAACAATCAGTAATGAGAATTACAGCCAAGATGCCCATTAAGGAGTTTACAAGAAAAAAAGCTTTATCGCGCTTTTCTTCTCCAAAGACCAGTAAACTCCTTAACACACTAAGCTAAACGATGAACCGTGATTAAGTAGTCTTAGCCCAAACCAGGGCATGACCTCTTTCTTGCTTCAACTTCGATACAACTGACAACTTTTCACATAGCTTTCTTGCTACAAAACCAAGCAAACTGAAAAAAAAAGAGGCAATCAATCTGCCCACCACTGCAAGCGAGCAATGTGTGAAAACCAACCGGTAATTTCCCTTACAGCCAGATCAGGTTCGGGGGAGACGATGAATTCTTGTGTGTCCTCACAATACGACCACACATCACCTGCAAAATGGCAGCTTCAAAATTATGTATTCGACTCAGGCAATTCTAACGTCACAGTTTTCCAGTAATGATCTGTTACAAAATTCGTCTCAAATGTACGCGGCTAGACTGAAACAACTAGCAGGATGCAATCAAGATTTTCCCAACACTGGTCTGGATATTTTCAGTTATCTCAATTTCTCTATCATTGTCAATATCAAAGCACAGAAGTAATTTTTAAAATAGCAGAAGCTGTAGATAAAAAGCCACAATTCTATGTTCTTCAAAATCTTTTGCCAGTAAGTTAAGAGAGATATAAACAAAATAATGGTGTTATCATACCTAAACTCCGTGCTACAGCAAGAAATGGTATGCTTTCCGTCGGAGTACTTCTTCTAATTGGACCAGTGTGCTGCTTCATGGGACGTGTCCATACGACTCTTGCAACGCCGCTTTTCAAAGCGACCTAAAGAAAGAATTTCCGGATTCCGCTAAAACGACAATGTAATGAGTACCGATCCTCCTGCTCCTCGGATTCTGGCTTGCTCATCCTCACTTTCCGGCTTGTGGTCGACAGTCAGTCTATGAGGTACAAGATCTTCGGAGTTGTCTTGAAGGTCTAGAAATCAGAAAAAAAAAATAGTTGCAGCATGTATGGCGAAATTATTTTTTGTAGAAAACATCACTTACATGACCGCTTCAGCAAGATTATAGCAGAATCGCCGACATGACCAGTAAAGAGCTTTCCTTTTCGTACTATCGCTATACTGACAGTCGTACCCGCCGTACTAGGGTAACCCGAGGCCGTACGCGGCCATTCTGCTGAAAATGAAGATTTGACATGATATGTTAAACTGCATAGCGTACATATGTGATTGGTGGCAATAAACACAATATGTGAGCAATCTGAGTGCACAACGCGAACAGCGGCAAGTAGCTCGTGCGCTATGCGAAACTGCAAACGTTTTTAAGGGGATATTAACATTACTGCAAAGGCAGTTTACTTGTAAACATTGTAGTTCAAAAATGTTGAAAGACTTCTAGAGTACACAAATCCAGACAAAAGTTTGAGAAGAAACGTTTGCCTGTAACTACACTCGCTGCTGCAATACATGATGAGTTCGACCCAAAACCACTTATGACTTGGTGCAAACAAAGAAAAAAGACATAGTGGCGCTTAGCGAGTATTTGCCGTTTCTTAATCAGATGGAAGAAAAACAGAAGAAGAGGATCAGGAGCTACCACACAACACCTCTGAATGGTAGATAAAAGACCTTCGATAGGCAGACGACTTGTGATTAGCGACCGACAGCAAAGCTCTTCTCAGGATTTAGAATATTAAGAAAGGTTTATCTGAGAAAAAAAAGAAGAGTGCAGAAAGGAAGCTCCACAGAAAAAAACATCGGTAACTACCAGGTTCTGAAGAAGTTCAATTATGACCTAATCCTTTACTACATAAATGTCTTGAACTGAGTAAAGCTGCAGTCACATAAGCTGAACTTACAAACTATTTTCCAGATTCCGTGGTGTGTACTAAGAAATCCTAATCGTATCGCTTCCAGCACATCATCGTCATCGTCCGAATCAAAAAGATCGCTCTTCTGGAAAAGTTACCAGAATATGTAGAACAAGATATGATGCTATAATAGAATAGACTACCATTATATTGTTCAAGAGATTTTTCCTGACATATTCGCTAGCCTCATGCCCACCGTGACCATCGAATATGCCGAAAAAAGTAAATTTGATAGATCCATCCTCGTTCCTTATAGTTTCGATATGCACCCGGTCTTCCATATATTTGCGGCCGCCCTTGAATATTGTATGCAAAAAAAAATGAAATGAAGAAGGAGATGCAAACCTGATTAGCTGCGACAGTGATGCGAAGATTTTCGCCGAGAAACATGCTCGGAAAACTTGCACCTTTTTTAGCTCCGGTAGAATTTGGAGCCATTTCGATAAGAACAGCACCTAATATTCTTAAGCCGGGTCAACTTTACTCTGAAAGAACATTTTCACGGTTACTACGATTATCGAGTTTGGATTGAAGAGATTATTGCGCGTGCACTGCAAGCTGGTGCTCACGTGAGAAGAAGCCTACAAACTTTCAGTGGATGGGCATGAACACAACTACGGTATTCTATAAGAGCGACATACTTTACATAGAATTATATGCAGCTATGAGCCCATATACGTTGACAAAATGAATATGAAAAATCGTAACTTAAGCAGGTGAAGAGCAGTGACAACGAGAAGGAACTAATCGAAACCGTCTAGTCCTCCGCTATAAAAGTATATAGCTTATGTTTAGATTTCACCGTTCAAAATATTTTATGGAAAAACGAGGGTGCAGACGATTCTCTGATGTCTACAGATTTTTAAGAAAAAAAACTAACTTTTGTAGATGAAAGCCAAAATGACGGAAAAAGTGTCATTGAAACCAATTCGTCCTTCAAAAGATATAAGCTGAAAACGAGCATTCGACAATGACAGACATTCGTACAATGAGCGATATAGCTCTGTTTGTACCTCCTCTCGAATGGGTCATTTGTACAATCCCTTGATCAACCGGATGTTGACATATTAATACTTCAAATGAAGGTAAAAAAAGATCTCCCATGTGATACCAAACTTTCCTGATAATCGTTTTAATAAGTATCATATGTCTCTGATAAAACATTATTAGATATAAATTTGCCGATGTAATCTGTGGACACATATTACTATCATATCTGAGAGAGAACAGTCAAAAGAAACTTCCAACAACTTTAACATCTCATTTTGTTGAAGTGCAAAGTACGTCATTTTAAAATATTCCATTACTATATGTAATGATCATAAAAAGCTTCAGCTGAGGAACACCGACATGGCGAACGTTTCACACCAGAAAGCAATCCATTCTGTGCAGAAAGTCAAATACGAGCACAAATGTTATTGCTTCCTGACAAAACTCCGTTCCTCGACCTTAACATACAAAGGAACATGTCCACTCTCCAAAAATGCTATTACAATCACAAGACGCGTCTCTAAATCAATAGAGAGAAGAACTGATAGATTTAGAGACCTATGGCGCAGTATAGAATTTACAAGAAAGTGGTTCACTGTAACTATCCATAATAAAGAGATATGTGCACTTATTACCAGGAAAACTGTTACATCCGAAATTTAATGAAGAAAAATACAACGGAAAAGCAGGATACAAAAACAGAATGAGGCAGCAGCACCTGCGGCCGCGTCGCGCATCTCGGAGACGCGCTCGCTGCACGAGTTTGACTGGAGCAGCTCGGAAGATTGAAAAAGAACATCATGGTTATCTGGGACAACTTTTGCGTTTATTTCTACCATGTCACTGTTAGATCAGCTGAAATGCACACGAGATAAGCTGAAGCCCACTACCACCAGGTTGGTTTGTTCAATTATCTTTTCCCCTCATTGCATCCATAACGATTACACAATATCTTGCGCGAACTCTTGTATACAAGAACGGATGATATTTAAGAGACACCAAAACTCTTTTGTGCACATTCTCAAAACATGCTTGAGCTTGTTCTTCTTTGGTTCAAAGTAGTAAATAATGCTATATAGCTGAAATGGATTCCTAATATAAACTTGCTTACCGAGTCAGGCTTGTTTAGACAATGTATGCGAAACGCAGTGGCGGTCGCAGGATTTCCGTTCGGGGCGTGGAGCGGAGGCAAAAGTTTTTTTTTCCAAATGAAGGTGCGTGACGTCAGCTATGCACTCCGAAAATTCTTTTGGGAATTCTCAAAGTTTTTGCAGCCTCTCTCCTCAATCTCTTTGCTCCCTGCTCCAGTGCGCGTATGCAGCACAAACCCCTAGCGCGGGTAGAGTAACGTCTGCGCCCCAGCGCGGTCTCCATGTGAACCAGCGTGCGTACGCGGTGCGACACTGCCTTTCGCTCTTTTTGACACGTTTCTCCTGAGATTTCAACGGAACTGTCTGAGGTTAACACGTTCAAAAGAGCGAAAGGCAGCGAGATGACGTGGTACCTTTGGGAATCTTGCTGGGGAACAAACGGCACTATATGTCGCCAAAAAGGGGCGGCCTCGCGGTTATCAACAAATAGTACGCGTCTTTTTGCATAGAGGTAAGCTGCGCCCCACGCGAATAGATGCTATAAATCTGTAATGCCTTGAAGTTTGCGGCTGCGTGTTTTGTCGCAGATGTCCGCGGGAAGTCACCCACCCGTTTCCTCGCACTTCGTCGCGCTAAGGTGCGATATCAGCTTCAGGAATAGCGTGATATTTTCGAGGCGGCGCAGCAGGAGCTCCCAAAGCCTCGCCGTCTTTTCTTGCAGGATACTTACAGTCTGCCCCAATCTCAATCAGGCCAAAATTGGCATGGCGTCCGCGTCGCAAGGGTTTTGCGTCACGCCTACGGCCTGCTTGCCTGCTCTCTCTTCGATCTCTTCACTCCCTCCGACAGTGCACGTATGCAGCGCAAAGTAGGGGCGCTGCGTGCGTGCAAATCTAGTCAACGGTTCGGCCTGATTCCGATTGGAGCAAACTCTAGCACTTCAGTGAAACCTCGAAAGGAGATCACGCCTTTACAAGGCTGAAGGGTGGCTCCGCCTATTGCTCCGCCTTCTAAGTGCACTCATTCTGAGCTGTGTGTACGTCGTGATACATATTCTTTATATTGACTAGTAAACCAGTAATTAAAGGTGCTAGATTGCATCCGTGCGCTTCGGGACCGCACGCGGTTCCCGCTACTTGATGGTTTTTGAATGCAGCTTACGATTCTTTGTAGATTAGGTGGACAGTGGGAAGTGATGAAAAATTGACTTAAAAATTTTTCCTAGGTCTTTGCAAACTTGGAAGCAAGGAACTCTGCAGCTGAATTCACAAAATTCGAGCTATGAATGCTAGTCATGCATTCAACGTAAAAATAAGACAACACTTCCTCCAGCCATGTGTAGCTGCACTCCTGGAAATGTTTGTTATGCTATGTTGCAGATATTTATTCCAAGTCAGGTGCTCGAACCTCCGAACAATTAGAGGGAGGTCTAGCAAGCATCCGAGCATTCAAATATCTTATGGTTTTTCCAGCTTTGGCATAGCATTGAATGGCGGATTAAATTGAAGGAAACCGGAGATTTTTTGATTTTTTGTCATATTTATGGAAACTGAATTTCTAGTTTTCCGATGTTACAGTCATTAGGGAAAGTTGAATGCTGAATGTCCTTTAACCAACATCTAAGTTGGCAACCTAATTTCTGATGTAAACTTCGGAATGATTCCCTCCAAAAATTTCTTATGTGATTTCTACCAAAATGAACAAATGTTGACTTCTTTATATTAGGTTGAACCGAAAGTTCTGTCGCACCATTTTCAAAAAATCATATCTTTCTCTCACAACAATTTTGCGCAGTTAAAATTTTTCAGAAAGCGTAAAGCATGTAGTTTCCAAAAGTCCCCTGGAGACTTTCCAACATGCTCAGGTTGCAGAGATAAAAATGAAAAAACGAGATCATTCGAAATTCGGAATTTTTAAGCAAAAATTCTAAAAATCTAGAAACTGTGTGATAAAATTCGGAACAGCTGCCATCCTATGTTTTCTTGTATTTTATAAACTGAGTTAAGTTTTTGCTGATCGAGCTCTTCTTTCAGAAGTTATGATTTTTTGAAAAAAATGCAAATCGATCTCTTAAGAATTCTTAAGAAATCGATTTTTCGGTGTTTTAAAAAAACATAACTTCTGAAAGAAAGGCTTGATCAGCACAAACTTAACTCAGTTAGTAACAAAATACAAGAAAACTTAGGATAACAGCTGTTCCGGATTTTATCGCACAGTTTTAAATATTTAGAATTTTTGCTCAAAAATTCCGATTTTCGAATGATCTCGTTTTTTCATTTTTATCTCTGCAACCTGAGCATATTGGAAAGTCTCAAGGGGACTTTTGGAAACCACATGCTTTACGCTTTCTGATAAAATTTTAACTGCGCAAAATTGTTGTGAGAGAAAGAAGTTATGATTTTTTGAAAATGGTGCGACAGAACTTTTGGTTCAACGTAATATATACTTGAGTAGTCGATTTCTCAATTCAAACAGCATGCAAATAATCAACTCGAGTACCGAGGAATGGCAACATTTATTTTGACCTCTATAATATGTACTACTATCACTGTAGATGGCCGTATTTTTTCACAGGGTACTTCACGAAGATGGTCAAGAGTCCATTGAGGAGAGAAATTCAAACGGAGAGTTTGTCAGTGAAGAAGGAGACCACAAAGGTGAGTACCATTGTTTTTAACACATTCACGACTAGGCCGTTTTTCAATTACTACCGTTTCGAACCAGAGCGTTTTTCACTTTGTCAAACTTACGACCCACCGTGGGTGTTGTCCGAAATGGTAGTCTTTTTGGAAAAAAATTCAAACATTTCTCCAAAGATTTCCCCACAAGGATTATACGGCGCTGATTATCAAAATATGATTTATTTCAGTTTTTGGCATTTGATGTGGAACGCGTTGAGCCGTTGACAATTTATTAGAAAAACACAAGAGTTCCCCCTCTGCCTATCGGCGTACATGCCGAGGGTTCACTAGGAATAACTAGAGAACAACGCACACAAATATATCAAAGCGCGGCGGGTACGCCGCAACCACAGAGACCATATCGACCTAGCCTATAGTGAGCGAGCAAGTTCTAATATAAGGGACGGCTCTACAACACCTCCCTCCTAAGATGAACAACGGTACATCTTATAACAAGGATCTACTTGTAGACGTTCTGGTGGGCGACGATGGCGACTTGGTCTGGTTGATGTCGGTGGCGTAGACGAGGTGGCTTGGTGTTCAGCAGCATCCATACCATTGTTACGTCGGCCTTCGTCGGGGATGGACTGTGTTGAGTCATGATGTCGATCCATACTTGCTGCGCGGCGCATCTGGTTCGCATGTCGTCTCCATAACTGATCGTCTTCAGTAAGCACGCCATATAATGCTTCTCCGTAGCGTTTTTTCACTCGAGCTGGAATCCATTTTTCACATTTAGAGCGAAAATCACGTACCCATACGGCTTCTTGTGGCTGGTACGCTCTCTTTCGTGCTCCATGGTGGCGGTTGAACTGCTTCTCCATATTTTCATTGCCCATTCCTTCTTCTTTGGAGTCTTCGTTCAGCAGCGACAGCGGTGTCCTGATCTGACGTCCCAGGAGCAGCTCAGCAGGCGAACGTTGTTCTGGAGCAGTTGTACAAGGCGTCCGTCGATAAGACTGCAGAAACTCCGCGAGCTTCTCTGCCGTTCCTCCCTCCTTAATTTTCTGGAAGGTTCTCTTGAAGATATCCACAAACCTCTCCGCTTGTCCATTCGATTGTGGATGGAATGGAGGTGAACGCATATGCTTGATTCCTCGTTCTTCACAGAAGTCTTGGAACTCTTTTGCTGTAAACTGCGTCCCATTATCCGACACGATCACTCGCGGATTTCCAAATCGTGCGAATAGAGATTTGAGTTCCTTCAGAGTAGCTGTAGTTGACGATGAAGGCATCTCAAAAACTTCTGGCCATTTCGAGTAAGCGTCAACTACGACGAGATACATCTTACCATTCAGCGGCCCTGCGTAGTCAATGTGAAGTCGATTCCATGGTTTGTCTTCTACTTTCCATGAATGCAGCAACGTCTTCACTGGCATTTTGGAGGCTTCTTGACAATCTCTACAGCGGCGCACTGAGTCTTCAATTTCTCTGTTGATGCCCATCCAATAGGCGAATCCTCTCGCGAGCATCTTCATCCTTGTCATTCCAGGGTAACCCTTGTGTAACTGCTTCAAAACTGCTTGTCTCAGCGAAGCTGGAATGACTATTCTGTGAGCGAAATACAAACATCCGTTCTGCACTGATAAATTCTCCCTCAGTGCTCTCCAGTTTCGGACTTCTTCTTTCGGCTTGGACGGCCATGCTCCCGATTGCAGCATTTGTATGACTTGCGCAATGGTTTCGTCCTTGCAGGATTCTTCTTTTATCCTTCTTCGGGTTACTGGTAACGCTCGTACAGCAGCAGCTTGAACGGCTCGCACATCTTCTTCTATTTTCGCTATGACGACGTCTTCGGTCTGGAATGGCCGGGGAGGAATCAGTCGAGACAGTGCATCGGCTTGTCCGAATTCGGTCGTCTTGCGGTACTCCAAGTCGAAGTCGTATGCAAGTAGAATGAGCTTCCATCGTTGCAATCTGTTCGCTGTGTACAGAGGCACCATTTTCTTGGGTCCAAAAATGTGTAGCAGCGGCTTGTGATCGGTAAGCAGTCTGAACCGTCGTCCGTATATATAGCGATGGAACTTACGAACCGCGAACACCAGGGCTAATCCTTCCTTTTCAATTTGTCCGTAGTTCCGTTCTGCAGCTGTGAGGCTTCGGCTTGCATGGCAAATAGCCTTCTCTGTTCCATCTGGCATCTTGTGCAGAATCACAGCCCCGATTCCGTAGTCCGATGCGTCGGCAGCTACCACTATCTGCAAGTTAGGATCAAAATGTGTGAGGAGTAGATCGGAGGCTAAGACTTCCTTGGCACGCTTGAATGCGTTCTGGCACTCCTCTGTCCATTCGAACTTTGCGTCCTTTTTGAGCAATGCATCCAGGGGTGCACGAAGCTGACGCATCTCTGCTACGAACAGTCCATAGTAGTTGATCATCCCGAGGAAGGATCGAACATCCGCTATATTCTTCGGCGCTGGCATCTGTTGAATAACCTCGATCTTCTTTGGATCCGGCCGGCGTCCGTTTTTATCGATAATGCAACCTAAGTAACAGATCTCTGGCATCAGAAAGTTGCATTTTTCCAACCTGACGTGGAATCCGTAATCCTTGATTCGCTTGAACAGGGCTTCCAAGTTTTGGCGATGCTCCTCATAACTCCTTCCAGTGATGATGATGTCATCAAGATAAGCGGCTACTCCATCAAGTCCGCTTATCATGGAATCCATGATCTGTTGAAATATACCTGGAGCCGATTTTACTCCAAAGGGAAGACGATTGTAGCGATACAATCCCTTGTGCGTATTGATAGTTAGCATCTCCTTCGATGCTTCCTCAACTTCCACTCGCAAATATGCTTCGGCCAAATCGAGTTGCGTGAAGAGCTGGCCTCCATTGAGTTTGGTGAACACGTCCTCCGCTGTGGGCAATGGGTGCTGATGCAGCTGCAATGCATCGTTGAGTCCTGTCGAGAAGTCGGCGCATAGACGGATCCTGCCATTCTTCTTCTTGACGGCGACTATTGGAGCGGCCCACTCTGAGTGTTCCACGGCAGAAATAACTCCTTCGGCTACCAGCCGATCAATTTCTGCTTCCAATTCCGGTGCTGTGGCGTAGGGAAGTGGTCTCTTCTTCTTGAAGACTGGGACAGCATCTTTCTTCAAGACTAACCTGGCCTTGCTCTTCTTACATCTCCCTAGTTCGCTCTTGAAGACATCCGGATACTTGTTCTTCAAGTCGGCGACAACTTCGGCTCGAATTGCTTCTTCTTTAGTCACCTTCCTGCAGTTGTACTTGGTCTTCAAATTCTTGTAAGCTGGCAATTGGATGCACCATTCCAATCCCAGGAGAGAGCCTTCGGTGACATAGCATGTTCCTTTTCCATAGACCATCCGTCCTGTAACTCGATCTTTGACCTTGAAATCCGTTAGAATTTTACCGTCGATCTGCATTGGTGTCCCATCTGCAGTTTTAACAGGCATCACGCACGGTTCTAAAGCTGGAGATCCTATCCTCTTCCAGGCTTTACGAGATATCAGCGTTATATCCGCACCCGTGTCCAACTGGAGCTTGAGGGGACATCCTTTGACAACAACGTCAAGGTAGGTGCGGGCGTTCTCGGCGTCGAAGGCGACCACGTTTTTGCATTGCCTTCTTCGACCACAGGGCTGAGTCCCTGTCTTCCGTCGCTTCTTTCGGCAAGTTCTGGGAAGTTGTGGACAATCTCTGCTGAAATGCGGACCTCCACATCTGAAACAATCCACCTTTTTCTTCCACACCGCATGGACATCGCGGGTTCCTTCCATATCCGTGTTGTCCTCTTCGACGCGGTGTAATTCTCGCATTCGCTGACCAAGTCCTCGATGGTCAGCGGTGTTTCTTCCGTATGTGAATCCAGTCTGCGAATCATCCTGAGGCGGACGTCTCGCAGTGACGGGTCCTGAAGACCGGCTACAAATTGTAGCGTCTTCATTCCAGTATAGTCGAGCTCCTTGAGTCGAGCGTCCTCATCCATCCGCTTGATTGTGTTGGCGTATTCTCGAAAGGGTACACACGTCGGCGTAAGCGGTGGGCAGGTGACGCGGAGGCACTCGAACCTTCTTCTTATCAGCGTCTTCTTGGATGCGAACAGCTTCTGAAGTTTTTCGATAGTTGTGTTAAAATCCAAGTCGTGTGGCTTTGCAGGCAGGACCTCATCTGCATACTTCCGGTATGCTTCTTCGTCCAGCTTCATGAGGACTAAATCACGCTTCCTGTTGTCTGGTAACAAGGACTCGCTTATGACGGGTCCATACCTGCTGTACCAGTAGGCAAAGGTATTACCTGTATCTTCATCGGAGACGAACCTTTGCACATCCTTGCTCAGCTGATCGTATTGATCCTTGCTGGCATCGTGTACGGCTACACTCTGGTTGTTGGCCAGAGTAGCGATTAGCATCCTCATTTGCTCCTGTTGAGCTTGCATCTGGATCCGAACTTCTTCTTGTTGAAGCCGCATCTGCTCCATCATGACGTTGAGGACCTTTTCCAGATCCGCCGCATGCCGCTCTTCTGCAACCTTCGGCATGGCTCCGCTGCAACGACGAGAATTCGTGCTCTCGTCGATGGATTCCTCAAAGAGAACTTATCTGGAGAAGTTGTTCTTGAAGTCGATTGGAGTCTTCTTCTTCTCCTTGGTCGGCGGTGGAGCTTCTTCTCGTCCTCGGCTGGTGGTGGAGTTCTTCTTGTCCTTGATCCTGATCGCCAGTTGATGTGGAACGCGTTGAGCCGTTGACAATTTATTAGAAAAACACAAGAGTTCCCCCTCTGCCTATCGGCGTACATGCCGAGGGTTCACTAGGAATAACTAGAGAACAACGCACACAAATATATCAAAGCGCGGCGGGTACGCCGCAACCACAGAGACCATATCGAACCTAGCCTATAGTGAGCGAGCAAGTTCTAATATAAGGGACGGCTCTACAACAGCATTATACGGTGAAGTTACGATAGTCATCCTGTAGGAGCACAACACCATAGATTTTCCTGAAAAATTGCGTTTTGGGGTTATTTCACGTGCTGATCACGATTATAGTGTCCACTTTGTTCACTACTTTTCCACAGTGGGACTACGGTAGCAGTACGGTACAATCCTCCGTTCATAAACTGATTAAGAATTCGGTATTAGAATTTGAGACTACCATTTTCTTAATCAGCATGTTACAAAACCTGTGTATGTAAGGTTTGAGCTTCCTGAGATGAACAATGCATAAAATATAATAAATAAAGTTAATAAAACTGATAATTTTTCGATGGTCTAACATCAGCCTTGCGCTCTCCCCATATTTCTCGTGCATGTGAACTTGAATTTTCAAAAACAGTACCACTCTGCGAAAAATTTGAGCTTAAGTCTGTGCCTTATATCATCTACCTCCTTACGGTATCCTACCGTGACATTACACTACAGTATCTCGAGCCCGGACTACTCTGACTGGAGCTTCGCCAAGGTGTTCCCAATCATGTGTCATAACCCCGTAGAATTCCATCGTAAACTGGCAAAGCTAGAGCTTCAGAATCTTACGACCCACCGGTGGGTCGTAGTGTCCGAAACGGCAGGACACGTACACCCACCGGTGGGTCGTATTGTCGTGTATGTGTTGAAACAAGACCTGCCTTGACTTGACTCAGTGAATTCAAAAACAAATGAAATATCTTGAAAAAGAGCTTGGGATCACTAACTTCTAGCATGAACAGATCTTCTTTGATCGCTCTTGTTTTCGACAAACCATCAAAACTTATTCGGGATTCATTAACCCCTGAAAGCAGCGTCAGGGCAGATTTTAACTCGGTGTCTTTATTCACCCCGGCTCGGACGTGCCGGTTTGTAAAAATGCAAAACGTCGTTATAGTTTTTCTTGACTTGGAGATTGCGGAAGAGAATGGCGCATGCGACCATCTAGTCAACCAATGTGCAGATGAATGTAAGCGTTACGCAAACGCTTCACCAAACCGTAGTCAATGGGGTTGGCCGCCTCACAATCCAACATTTTTCAGGTCTGAGTAGCACTAGAGCACTCCTAGAAGGCAGTCTGCTATCTTATTTCTATAAACATCTCTTGATGTAAGCACCCAGGTCCAACGATGATAAAAAGAAAGTCAAAGTGCGAGACCACTGCCTCAGGCTCAATGGTAGTACTTGCTTGACAACGTCGATAGTCGTCTTGGTTATATCTGATACGTAGCCCTATATATTAGGTTGGTGCAAAAATTCTGTTGTTCATTTTTGAAAATTCATAGCTTTTTTCTCTCAATGTTTTTGCTCAATTTCAATTTTGTTATGTAGAGAAAATCCTTCTCTTTGACAGCGCTTATGCTGCTCTCCAACAAGATATAGCTTTCAAGATGGAAGCAGGGGAATAAAGTTACTTTAACTTCGGCGATTTTGAGTTAGACTGCCAAAAATCCGAAACTTGCGATAAAATTCCGAGCAAGCAGTATAGTAAGTCTTTTGATCCACCCTTTCCATCTGAGCAGAATTGGGTGTAGAAAGGACATTCCTTGAAGAGCTATGGTTTTTTGGATAAACAATTCAAAAAATTTGATTTTTTGCAGTCTTTTCGAAAATCATAACTCTTCACAGAAATGCTCATTTGACAAAAACTCTGCACTGTTGGAAATTGTGCATGAAAGACTTGCTAACTGCTTGCTCGGATTATTATCGCAAGCTTCAAATTTTTAGCAGCCTGACTCAAAATGACCGCAGTTGAAATAAGTTTTTTCCTCTGCTTCCATTTCAAAAGCTACACCTTGTTGGAGAGTAGCAAAGGCACTATTACAAGAAAACAGGTCTCCTTTAACTGAACTAAATTTGTGCAGATCCGTTGAGGGAGCAAAAAGTTATGATTATTCAAAAAAGGAACCATTGAACTTTTGCATTAACCTAGTATAATGGATTCCACCATTGTAGAAATTTCAGCTGTCTCAAATCGTCGAAAAAAGAAGGTGGAACGGGCGCGTAGACTGGGATTTGTTGTCGACCTCCAGCCGGATCTTCAGCTTGCTCTCATATGCCCCGGCGTTTATCTTGGTAAATCTTTATTTATTCCGCATAACTATAAGATTCACAAAAGCAAGAAGCCATTTTAACACAATTTTCGTAAAAAGCCATATGTTTATGTTATGCTGGTGCCATCGCACCGTTTATGAAAATTTATAACTTCTTGTCCACTCGACAGATGACACAAAAAGTTTAGTGGTCAATGAGAATCACATTCTTTGCAGTAGTACCTTTGCTGCTCTCCAATAATGGGTACCCTTGATATGGAAGCATAAGAATAAAACCACTTCAGTTTGGTCGTTTGTAGTAGGCTATTAAAATTCTGAATTTTGCGATAAAGGAGCAAGCAGTAAAATGAGTCTTTTGACCCACACTTTCCGACTGCGCAAGGTTTGTGTTGAATGATCATCCCTGTGAAAAGTTGTGATCTATGCATAGCAATACAAAACATTAATTTTGATTTTTAAAGCATTTTTCCGAAAATCTTAGTTTTTCAAAGGGATGCTATTCAATAAAAACTCTGCACTGTTGAAAATAGTGGGTTATAAGACATATATTGCAGCTTGCTGCGGATTTCATCAAAAGTTTCAGACTTCTAGCAGCTACTCAAAATGGTCGAAGCTGAAATGATTTTCTTTCTTTCTCACTTCCTTTCATAAGCTACTCTTTAGAAGAGAACAGAAAAGGTGCTATCTCAAAGAATATGATATCCCTCAAACGGTAATTTAGTTTGTGCGAATCCGTCGAGTGAGCAGGAATTTATGGTTTCTCAGGTGTTTTTGCATCAACCTAATATATGAATGTGACGATCTACCAAAAATCTTCTTACACTGGAATTCAGCATTTTTCAGCTTTTTAACACTGCAAAAAAAAAATGCTGGTATGAACTCTTCAGGTAGTCAGGACGTCGCAGCAGATTTGAGTACTCTTGACGCAGAGAAAATTACCCACATTGTGAATTGTGCCACAGGAGTTCCTAACTACTTTCCGAAAAGATTCAAATATCTGCAACTCGAAGTACTTGATCTTCCCAGCACTGATATCGTTCCTAGCTGTCAGATAGTACACGACTTCATTAAGGACTGTGTTGGAAATGGTGGAAAGGTAGGAGCTATGAAGCAAGCAAATCTGTACCTCTCATCTCAGATCTCTTGAGGTTTTGGTACACTGCAATGCTGGAGTATCTCGTGCACCTACCTTTGTTATCTCTTACTTGATGTTGCAGTATAATCTTTCGTTACATGACGCTATTGCAACAGTCAGGAATGTTAGACCAAGTGAGTCAATTTTTCCTTCAAGAGAATAGGCATTAGTTTTACTTGTTGCAGAGGTACGACCAAATGATGGTTTTTTGAAGCAGTTGGAAGATCTTGACCGTATGAACAAAGCACACATCAGTGACGTGCATTAAAGGCAGAGTCCAGGTAGATTTGGAGCACCCCTCAACAGATTACTGAAGCGGACCCTGCCTGCAGACCATGGCCCGGCTGCAACTGCAAAATATTGCTTCTGAAGCGAGAAAACAGCTTTAAGGCAGTGCCCGGGCACAAGGGGGGTTCTGGAATTCCAGTGACATGCGATAGTGGCCCCGGTTGGGAAGCCTTGAGATGGGTTCCTCCGACCTGAATGTCTGCTATGCGGCAGAGTACGCATGCCGCCACAGTCAAAATTGTAGGGTCCCGCAAGAAGTCTACGTCTCAGCCTTGGCCGGGATCGTCGAATTTTAAATTGTAAGGCTTTGGAAAACGCATGTTCTCGCCGTTTTGGGCCTTCTAATGTGGATTTTCGGATTCAACGTTGCGGATAACCTCCGGTAAGTGGATTTTCTAGAAATCGAGTTTCTGCCCGGATACTGCCTTTAAGAAGCCTAAACAGGGACGCCCCTCGATTCAGCCTTTTTTTTACCGAAACTGGAAATTGTGGCGGATCACCTCGCTGCAGCCAATGACAGCCTCGCAACTGCCGTGATCCCAGCACACTTTCCTGCTTCAGTAAGGACGAGACTGGATCGGGGGGCGTCTCTGCTCAGATTTCTGAACTGCTATTTCGCTCAGAAGCAGTATTTTGCAGTTGTGATCTGCGACCTGCATGCGAAGCCCGCTCTAGTAATTTGTATAGTGTGGTGCTTCCAAATCTGCCCGGACACTGTCTTCAACTAGGCACCATTAGGATTTGATGCTTGTATATAAAGATCTGTCAGAAACAAAAGTATGAGACGTATTGAGTTGAATAGTTCTGCATGTTTTAGTCGAAAGGCTTCGTCATCGCAACGAGACCAATGTTTGTTATTATGAGGAAATGATTTTTGATGTTTTGAGCCAAAGGCTGGTGACTATGTATCGAATTGTCCTCATAATAGTGTGCAATAAATCGTGGCATTTGGTTTGCAGATTGTCATTTTGCACCACTTGTACGGCGAACTGTTCTGTGAACAAACTCTCAGATAATCGCCGGGGGCAGGCGGTCCGCAAACTCGCGCTTTTCTGCAGGCGGTCAGCAGAATTTTGGGGCGTGGCCAAACCTTCAGCGGGCGGTACTTCCGCGTTCTGCCAGCGGGCAGCAATACAGAATTTTCTGCGAGCGCTCGTCAAATAATATCTTCCAGCGAGCGCTCGCAGAAAATTCTGTATTGCTGCCCGCTGGCAGAACGCGGAAGTACCGCCCGCTGAAGGTTTGGCCACTCCCCAAAATTCTGCTGACCGCCTGCAGAAAAGCGCGAGTTTGCGGACCGCCTGCCCCCGGCGATTATCTGAGATGTTGTGCTTACATTCATTGAATTCAAGTCATCACCTTAGCAAGCTTGGGAGAATTCGTGCGTTGGGCGTTGTGTTGGGCATATATGCGCTCTACACCACGGGTAACGCTACTTAGCGACGAAGAGGTTTGCCTCAGCTGAGGAGGAAATACCCTCCGGTATGGAAACCGCTCAAGAGTCTTGGAAGGAATCAGACTGATCGTAAATCAAAGTTGTAATAAGATGTATATGTTGTACAAGAGATCCCATTTCAAGTGTCGCAGTTGGTGCGGCTTGGGTCATTCGCCGCGTTTGTTTCTTGTCTAGGGGCATTTCGTCCAGAGCGTGGAAAATACCGTATGCAAAACTGACGAGTTTGGAAAAATGCTCCGAGACATGTTCGGGAAACAGCTCAGACAGTCGATCGGACCCCTCCGGCGCAGAAATGGCAGGGCCGCGGGGTTTCCCCAGCGAGGGGTCTGCCACTCGTGCGCCGGTTTTACGCCGGACCCCTCCCATTTTGTGCGCCGGAGGCCTCCCATTTTCTGTGCCGGAGGCCTCCCATTTTGTGCCGGAGCCCTCCCATTTTCTGTCCCGGACCCCTCCGATTTTCTGCTTCGCGGCTCGTCCAAATCTGGCGGACTCGCGGCGGGCAAATCTCTGCGCCGCGACTCCAGCAGATCTGGCGTACATGCGGCGGAGAGGTTTGCAAGCCCGCCGGAGGGGTACGATCTGCCTTCTTTGTGACGTCACAAGAAGGGACCGCCCCCTCGCCCCGCTCTCATTGGTCAACTGGGTCCGCCGCGGCTCTGGCAGATTTCGATTGTCCGCCGGAGGGGTCCGATCGACTGTCTGAGAGCGAGCGGCCCAAGCGAGGCGCCTCGCGAAGACCTGAGCCGCGCTGACCGCGACAAGAATGGAATCCTCTTATATTGTTCTGGTCACATAAGGAGGAAGGCCACCTGAGTAGGCAACAATTTTAATCATTATTACAATGGGCCAATAGATGCAGCGGAAACGTTGAAATATGTGACAATAGAGATACACTAACTTTGCAATTAGCACAAGAGACGCGATTTTTATTGCCAGGTGTACAAAAGTTAGCGCATTTTAATATTTTACAATTTCTAGGAGCAATTCGAATTTCTAGCAAGACATGTATGATCGTCCTGCATGGTGGTTCAATTCGATTATTCTTATAAGATCCGGGATATAAGTGTTAGGGTCAAAAAACCCGTGGAAGCTAACGACTACTGGCATTTTCGTGAATATTTTGATCAATTGTACACCAAACGCCCTCAAACCTCGCAAATAGCTTCAAGTACTGAGTGAGCTAAAACACTTTGTGTGGATTCTTGAAATTGCCTCCTTAAATGGGCTGTTGAACAGGTGAATACGCTAGGTTCACTACTTGACGTATGTTGTAGATATCCCCATTTTGTAAATGATGAGCTGAAACATGTATATACAGGGATTGATATCATTGAAAAGATACTAACAGTAGGTCAAGAAATACTCAAAAAGAGTATTAAATACCGCATTCATCATAAAGTGTCAGCAAAGATGTGCTAGAGAATGTTGACAGTTTAGTCTCAGACATGGTTAAAAATATTGAAGCTCGTTAAAACAAAGGTACAGGAGAGAGACCGTGGAATTGAGGATTGGAAAAAATGTACTGATGATATGATCAACAATGATTTAATAGAAAGCGATAAATTAGCCGCAGTAGCTCAAAAGATAAGCTCGCAGACAAAGCCAGCTGTTTTTGTTTGACGTGCAGATGTGCAGATGTTAAAAAGGAGGTGCAAACGGGATTGAAGGTCATAATTATCTACTTACTGATTTGTTCAAGGAACAAGTGAAGGCAGTGGCGTACCCAAGCGAAAAATTTTTTTTACAAGGCTAATCTGAATTTCTAAAAATTTATAAAAATTGTTTCAATTATTTACAAGTAAAAACAAGTCCTATGCACATTTTTGACACATTTAAGTAACAACTTTTAAAAAATTTTCGCGACCCATTCTCGGGAGGGAGGGGGCCTCCCTTCCCTCGGTACACCACTTAGTGAAGAATATACAGGGTGTCCCAAAAAATGTATCGAACGTTTATCGTTAATAACTCTCTTCTAAAGAAGCCTCTTCTCTTGCTTTAGGTACCAATCTGTAGAGCTGGCTTCAACTTAGATTTGCGTTATGGAACGAATCACTCATTTCTTTTCATTACTGGAGGATTACGGTAGAAACTTCAAAGAGGGTTTCAAGCAATAAAAGGCCATATTTTGCCTTAGAAAGGAAACAAAACAGCTTGAAAGCTTTTACACTAAGCTAATTAGAGTTGCTGATTATAACCGTAAAGTTCCCAACTTATTATGATGCTTCATTGAAGGGTTATGCCAGGTAAGAGGTAGCGGCCATTTTTTCAATGTTCCTAAAAAGTGCGATTACACCGTCTGGAAAGCTTCGTAATCTTGTGAATAGTTGAGTATTAAACTCAGCGTCCATAAAAATCCTATTACACAAGTTTTCACAATTTTTTGAAAGATTTTGAAACGGCAGCTTTTTCCACATTGACACTATATGTTTCAGGTTTCTACCGTTATCCTACAGCAATGAAGAGAGATGGGTGATTCGTTCTATAGTGCAAGTCTAAGTTGAAGCCAGCTCTACAAAACTGTACTTGAAGCAAGGCAAAAGACTTCTTGGGAAGAGAGATATTGACGATCAAACGTTCGATACATTTTTTTGGGACACCCTGTATAATACATAAGCGCAAATTGGATGAACTGAGCCTAAAATTAGAGAAGAGTGTTCAGAAATACTGAGAATTCGTGGGATCCCAATTTGAAAAGATCAAAGGTAGATTATTAACCGTACAAAAAGAAACACTTTGAAGCCGCTTGCAAATACATTACAGAGATTTCTAGCGCACGTACAAACTTTAGATAGGCTTACTAATTTTATTTGATCTTGGGTCAAATGCTCGTAAAGGAAAAAAAACAATCAAAAAAGCATTCATAGACAGTAACAAACCGTCAATATCGTATCTTACCGTGTGCAAATAACTGATAAGAACTTTCACCTCGCTCCTTTTATGGCTACGAACTTTTGCTCTGTCACTTATTGTTAGACTTCCTAATTCAATTATAGGAATTGTTTTTGTGTGCAAGCTAACGGATCTAATCAACAAAGATAAATTAATTGCTTATAATTAGTTACCAGTTGCTACGTTTCGCATCAGGTTTCCTTAACTCACACTGGAAAGTCTCTGAATGCTGTTATAAGACTGCCTCGTTTAGAAAAAAGGATGAAAAAGAAGGCACTTTTTTGGCAAACCTTTTGAAATTCGGCAGTATCATCAAGATTGTCACTTTCAAGAAATGTAGTGTTTTTCAAGCGTAATGTCACTGGATGTGATGCGCGACAGTTTGTTGTTAACAAAGCTGGGCATCATAAAAGTTCACCATACTTGCCTTACAAAAGTTAGTTCAAGAGTTTGTGAACAGAAGGTTGAAGGTTTGTAATCACAACTGATAAGACTGCGCTCATTCTTAATTCTCTTGCTTTTGATAATGCCGGCTCAGATGTCAGTTCGGAAACTTGCTTACTTCTTCAATGTCTCCTTCTTGTGCGGTCAACTGCACCAAATCTTTGGAATTAAATTGCTCGTAGTAACTATTTATAAAGGGCATTCCTGAGGAAGGCGACCTAAAATGTCTTCCCAGCATTCTAGAAGCACACAATATTATTTCATTCGTAATCTCGATCTTGTCTTCTGAGGTAAAACTCTGTGACATTGATCGACCCCTTCGGAA